TCTTGTTAGCTAAAAGATGTCCTGAACAAGTGGTAGGGGAAAAAATTTTTTTTGGACGATTCATAAGTCCTTTTAATAGCCTACTTGAATAAAGATATTTTCATTTCATTTCATTTCCAGTAGTTTCCAAATTTAATAAAATATATAACATGGTGAAAGAATTTTTAAAATAGTTCCTATAGTTTTTGTATTATAAATTTTATACAAACATATATAAAACACATCTTTTATCTTTAAAATTAATATTTTTCTGTTTTAAACTGAACCTGTACACAAATTTCCTCTAAATCAGCTTACGATTACCACTTTAAAATTCAGTTAAAATGTTTGACAAACACATACATTGTAAAGTAAATAAAAGCTTGTAATAAAAAGGTGGTTTAATAAAAACCTTGTGATATATACGATAAGGTTCGTATCGTTATGAGAAAACGATGGGAAGAACCTTTTTCTTGATATTGAAAATAATGTGAAGCACACACAATGCGACGCGTGAACATATGTGTTATCAGCGGGCCCTTTAGTAAAAAAGGTAGTGCGCCAATATCATTACACAGGATTCAAACCGATTCGTTTCTCAATTCGTGCTGCATGTAACTATATTCTTAATAAGTATCTAAATTAAGTGGGGTATCCTCAGACTTTGTTTATGTGTACATCTCTCGCGTCGTTCACGTTCATTACGCATTTCATACGCAATGGCTGGTTTTATGGCTTCTGACATCATCCCTTGTTGTTGTTACTTCCAAGTACAAAACATTCGGTGAGGTATCAATAGCAACATAAAAACAATGGGGAATCGAACGTTCTTGATTATGTCAAAGTGAAAATACTCGAGTACTAATTTAAAAAATACATCACAGTCGAATATATAACCTCCTTTCTGATGTTGTAGTCGTTGAAAAACAAAAGTAAGCAAAATAAAGTTCGAGTATTCAAAAAATTTTTATTATAGAGGAAAGTGATCACACATGTGTTATAGTATCCCTTATAAGGAATACTGAAATTAGTTGTGTTTATAGTGATATCCAGAAAATAGAAAATAAAAGGGTTTTTGTATAGTTATTTCAATAAATTATTAAATATTCCAGAATCTGTCAGGAACAAATGAGAGCAAACGTTTTCATTTATTTTCATTAATTACCTGACTTCAACTAAATTACTTAAAGAAAATTAATTGTAAAAAGCACTTACTAAACTATTAGCTTCATGTCAGCTTCCGACAGATGTAGTTACAAACAGACAGCAAAAAAAAAGGAACTGATATTACTAGCAATTTTTCTGTTTCATAATCTTGACATCGTTATATAAATTTTGTTCAAATGATATTAAAAATATTAAATTAATATTAATAACTTGTTTCTACAAATGTTCCAGAGTTTTTCCAGAGAAAATATTTCTTTTCAAGTGAATGTAATTGCAATATACTTTTAACGTTGTGATCACGGAATGGATCGTTTTATAAAGTCTTCTAGGGTCGTTATTTCTAGAATATCTGTGATGACAATAGTAGAGACTGTTTAGATGAGGATTCCGATATGTATTAGGTACGTATGATTTGTTGAACGAAATGTGGTATTTGGGTGGGTCCAGTGGCGAATGGGCAGACGCTCAATGTTCGGGAAGTGATTCCGCCAAAGATTATGATTGATTGTTGTACTAGGCATTAAGTGCCGAACTGTTATTTAAAATAAAAAAACTGATTTTGCATATTCCTAAAGTCCTATGTATAAATTATAAGCACATACTAACAATGTTATAGGTATATAAGTTAAGTTACATATTCCTGTTCTGGTTACCGTTACCCTAGTGGATTTCATTATCCCCGTCTCCGGTTTCTAATTACCTCGTACTCTTGGGCAATGGGAGTCAATGTGAGTTTTATTACAAATGATTATAGATGTTTTTGTTCATTTTGTTTTATTTTTCTGTCTTAAAGGAAAAGCCTGATCAGTAATACTATAAAAAAACTAAAACTACAACGTAATTATAGCTGTAATCCTCACTGGGAGAGGTATCAGTGAGATTATGTACATGCCATTTATACCACTCGCCTCCAACAGATTCCCCTTTCAATTTAAACGCATACAGTTCCCTGTGGTACATACATAAAACAATTCCATTAACAGTTAATCTACATAAGTATTCATAAAGGATTTTCCATTTTATATAATTCAATGTTATCTTGTCTCGTTAAAAATCGAGAACAGCTAGCGCCGATATAGCTGATTTAGGTTTTGAAATGTGTGTCGTAGAGAGAGGTGACACGAAATGCACAGGGTCATCTGACAAAATATCTGGAACAAATTCCATCTTACTATTATAACATGAGGCTAAAGTTAGTACTTGGTTTAAACCATTGGCTGCCCAAATCCCATTGACAATGATAGTAGAGAAAACTTGAAGTTGGTTTAAACTTTTAATACTAATTTAATTTAAGACCAAGTATTCATATTCTTCTTATAGGTCCGGTACCGGGTGCAGAAGTAAGTTATATACGTAGGGTGTAGATCAACAATATTATTTACCGCTCGATTAATTCAGTAGGTATGTTTTTCTAATAACCTTTTAAAACTAATTGTTTTACAAATTATTTTGAATAAGTAAACGTGAATGTTGTCGCTTAAAAATTCCATTCACTTTTATAAAAATTTTTTCATAACGAAACCGCAGAGTTGTGGCGATGTTTCGAAGAGTTTTAATCTGAATATTTTTTGGAGTGATTTTCAACCGTCAGGGAATTGCAGCTATGTTTCGCGGGCCGTTAACATCTGTAAATATTTGAAGTTTCTCTGTAAACAATGTAGATAATATTTGACGAGTGTTATTTTCTATAATAAAGTGGATTATGATGTTACTGTATTTAAATGTGAAACGATGACGGTGATGTCCTAAATTATTTATTTTTTTATCTATGAAAATTATAATAAAATTTACAGTGCTCAAAAATTTAATTACTCCTTACATATAATAAATGGATACCTTCATCTGTATTTAAAAATTAAGCTTTATATATTATAGATACTCATATTTACTGGATAAATATATTCCGTTAGGGCCACAGTTCTAACCTAACCTAACCTACTATTCTGGAAGCAATGTAGCAGTTCGTTCCCTAAGTCATTTAGTAAGTTTAATCTTATGCTTATATTCCCTAAGTTGATGAGTATTGAATTAAACAAAAAAGAAATTTGTATAAATACATCATTAAAATTATGTACTTAGCAAAATAAAACAATTTAGTTTCTTAGAATTGTATTGTCAATAGAATTGTAGTTTCTTACAACAAAATTGGTGATAGATATATATTTCTGGGAAAAAATATTTCTTAGAAATACGGTCCATTTTATAAACACAGCCTTTATCTAGGTACTCGTAGGTATAGAAAGTAATGAACATAATATTTAATTGACACTTGTATACCATTTGTCAATCATTGTTTTTTTGCGAGAATAAATCTTGTTATTTGGACAAATATAAATTGGTTACAGATAATATTGTTACGTTACAAGTAATATAACTCGTTGGTTTATTTCTGTAATTCAAAGCAAACATATCTTTCTCTACATTTTCATATTCGTACACCGAACAAAAGATGCCTTCAAAAAGGCACTCGTAATGACTTATGTGTTGTGGACGAATGACATTTCTAATATATTTTTCCTTCCTCCTTTTATTGCTACGTATAAAAACTGTTTATTAATAATTTTATATAATATGAATCTTTTTGCGTCTATATTATTATATTTTACAACATTTATGTCATATCATTAGTTTCGATAAGGAACTACCGGCAGCCTAACTGGCGATATTGTTTTTGGCGGATCGCTATTATGATAAGTAAAGAAATTGCCTCACAGAGTGAATATTATTCTTGTGTGACTATGATATACGACAAATGATATTTTAAGCATTATACAATTTTTATTTTACAACGTTACGCATAATAATAATTATAGGCACAATTAAGTAAGTAACTGTAACATTTTCAATGAGATTTGAACGTATGTTTTATTTAACTCTCTGACTAAACACATAGCCCCTGTGACTCACCAAAAATAGTCACTGTGACCCTTCAAAAATAGTAAGAAAGTGCCCGGTCTTCGACAGCCGGAGTGATCCTGTGTTTTCAACTTTATTATGAACTAATTTATATGACCGCTTACTCCGCAAGTGATACGGCGTGAAGATATAGATAGATAGATAAATTATAGATAGAGATAGAATATTATTTATTGCGCACACAAAACAAAATGCAATTACATAACGAAAATACGAGACGTACAAATGGCGGCCTTATCACCAAAAGTGATCTCTTCCAGGCAACTTTAGGATGGAGTTAAATATAAAAGACCTTATGATGTAGTGGATTTAACAATATTAACTTACCTTCACTTTCGAAACCAAGTACGAAAACACCGAAAATTCTAATACATAAGCTATTGTTGAATGAAATCGATTGGGATTATGAAATTGATTCACCATTACTCCCATTGCTAGACGTATGGAAGAAAATCCGACTTGATTTTGAAAATGTAAAATATATTGATTTAGACCGGACCAGTTTCATTAACTGGCAACATTAAATTAATCGAATGAGGAAGTATTTTAAGAAAGAAGAAAGCACTAAAATAAGTTCCTAACTAGATGGCGACTCTACCATAAGTTGATTTTTGCAGGAATCGAATGGACCAAGATAGTCATTTCCGTTTAACGTTTCATATTAAAAAACTGTAATTTACAATGTTCGAAACTTAGAAAAATAAAAAAGTACAAATAGAATATGACTTGTTTATTGAGTTTCGATAATTAATACACGAAATAAAACCGAAAGGGTTGTCATGGAGAAATCAAGAAAGTACCTTAGCGACATCTAATTTGATTTCGTGAACTAATGTTTTCTTTAAAATACTCTCTCATTCAAAACAGTATCAGTATCGAGACTCGAGCTTTGTGGTGTAGTCTTACTTACAAAACTATAAACAAATGAAGCACAAGTAATGCGAATACCCGCATCACAAATTACACCTGGACTGATCATCAGTTGTCTTGTTCTGGCTCAGTGAGTGAGTCAGAGAGCGTTCACGCTTGCTGACAGAGTACTTGAAATTTTAGAGAACACAAGTTACAGACAATGGCGTCATGTGACTTCTGAACAAAATCCCGCCGATATCGCTTCATATTATATTTAATATTTGAGCCGCTGATTCCAATAGACGCTTCGAGACCAAACATTAGGGCTTTTAAAACCTGGTTGTTTTCGAGAGGGTAAGGTAGCCCTAAGTTATTTTACCACGTCCTGATTTAAAAATGACTAATGTCAATTGTATGACGAATGTTACAAAAACAAGTTAGGGTTTTTTGGCATCGGTGGGCAAATGATTATTTGTCTACATTACACACTAGTCATAATGGTTTAACATGCAATCAGAATTAAACGTAGGCGATATGATATTGCTTAAAGACGAATAATCACCACCTGGACAGAGGTCACTAGGTAAAATATTTATGAAGCATCCATGGAACAATAGTTGTACCAGAGTTTATAGGCAAAAAATGAGATTGTTGAACATTTCATTAGTAAGATGTGTGAATTGCCTGTAAAGTGATTGAAACATGAAAAATTAAGACGCGTTGTTGTGTGTTAATACTTACTTCGTTTTATGTATATAACACCTAATATATTTTTTTAAGTCTATTTGAGGTTTACAAAATGTGAATTTTGTATTCGTTACACGTGATAGTTACTGTGTTCTGTTTAATTTTCTGCAAGTACTGTTTATCTTTTATGGGCGGTATAATGAGTTCTAAACAAACAACTAAAAGGAATAAAGTCATAGAGTAAATAGTAGTACAAATAATTATAAGGCAGTGTTCAATAAACACCGTCAATACGTATTATATTAGTTCCAAATTTGCTAGGCAGTTATAAACTTTATTGTTATAAACATACATCACATATTCGACAAGACATTGGCAATCGACATTAAAAAAACAGAATGTCGTTTAAAACAAACAATTGAAACGCCGGTTCTTACTCTTTGTATAGTTCTTTCAATAATCGACATATCAGAAAACTGTATCGATTACAGAATGCATGTTTTTCATTTACCAGACGCTCCGTGCCATGATATGAACGTTCTCTAAAACTAAAGCTTTCTCTACGCGATTCCGGGTCTTACTTTTGTATTAAATGAAATAGAAGTACATGACCCGTCGTGTCTTGAATGTCTTCAAAAATATTATATTCATTATGTACAAAATGAAAAAGGAAATATTTGTATGCACGTTCCGCGGCGTAATCCTTATAAGCTCATGGTGTGTAGTATATACGAATGTCAATATTCATCAGTGCATTGTACTCGTAATCTGGCTTTGTGTAGATATCCCTTTGTCAACCTAGCCTTCGGACACTTCTTTAAGTGAATCTTAGTCTTATTCATTAAGAAGTTGTTAAAGAAGCAACTCGAGGAATATTTTTTTTTTTTGTATTTTCGGCAGTTGACCTATCGGTATCGGCAGCCATTGTTTATGTTCGTTAATACAACTCATCAAATGCAATAAAATTGTTTGTCCTTCGATAGCTTCTACTATTGTAATACGGCAACTTTGCAAAAGTAAATGCTAAATTTGCTAATAAATAGAAAAAATACATTTGCGTTCAGTATGGGTCGTCATAGCATATGCTACCCGCGATCCCGTATCGTGAAGCTTCCCGTAGGTGAAAGAATTTTTAAAATAGGTGAAGTAGATTTTCAGAATTCTCAGCCTATTCAGATCAAACAAAAATCAAATCTTTCCTAAATTCCAGTAGACCAAGAAAGTCCAATAGACTGGTATTACTACGTTATATTTCTAACCGTTCAAATTTGTATAATTGATAAATGTGTGTTCCATATTGTGGCTGACGTTTGAAATTAATGGATTAAATAATAGCTAGTCGTAATACAGTTTGTAATGTAGAGACTCTGAGGTGGTGTTTCTGTTTCAGTGCATCGTACGTGTCCGTGCTGACGATCGTCGCCTTCTCCCTGGAGAGGTACCTGGCCATCTGTCACCCCCTCCACTTGTACGCGATGGCTGGTCTCCGCCGGGCGCTGAGGATCGTTATTGCACTCTGGACCATCTCCCTGTTGGCAGCGGCACCTTTCGCCTTTTACACCACAGTCAGCTACCACGACTATCCACCCGGTAAGATCATGTAGAGGCAACAGTTCATCAAGCTCGCTAAAACTTGTAAACTCTAATTAATTGATTTTAAACTTGAAACAGTTAGATATAAATGTAATTTAAAATATTGAAAGATGGGACTTATGGATACCACAGTATTTTAATGTATTCCACTAGATTATAAATAACGTGAGGCCCACATATTGATAAATTGTTGAAAAGAATAATCTAAAGGTTATGAGATAAATTTAATGAAACACATATAGTAGTCGTTACCGGTCAAAACACACATAAAATTTTATGAACGATCGTAAAAAACATTTATTAGTTTTCTTTAAATACCATTTCAACCCGAGAAATAAAAATAAATTAACGTTCCTTATCAATAGACTTAAAAAAATATATAGATCACTCAAATATTCAATTGTATGCTCATCTACAACAAAGTCTCAAACAATATACAACTAATTACATATTTTTATACATTATTCAGTTTAATGATAACACAGCTTAATAAAGAATCTTTTATTATTATTGCCCTGGATATTTCTGCAGATTAATATATTTCAAGTACCTACCCAGATTGCGAATTATTGTAAATAAAATATTTCATTGAATCTAGTTCTTTTTTTTATTTAGTTTATCATAAATTTAAAAATGGTTCTGCAATAAATTAGTTACTGTGACCATTAATAGCCGGTTTGTGTAGATTTGAAGATGGTGAACTATTTACTTGGTCAGCAAAGTGGATACACCAAATATCCTTGCTTTATTTATTTATTGGACAGCAGAGCAAAGCAAGTTCACTGGGAACGTCGAGGTAAATAATTGTTTTAAAAAAATGCACGAACAAGACCCGATTGCATATAATTATAATGTATACAAATCGTGTGAGTTTAAAAATATTAGAATCCTTAACTGTTGGTAAAACCAATGTAATAAATGAGCTACTGTTAAGTAGAGAAAAATCATACTCCTGCCACTACACATCAAGTTGTGTATGATGAAACAGTTTGTAAAAGCGTTGGACAAGGAAGGAGACGGTTTTAAATATATTTGTAAAACATTTCCTAAGCTGAGTACAGAAAAGTTAAAATCTGGAATATTCGACGGTCCTCAAATATGAACATCGATAAAAGATAAATACTTACTAAATATAAAAACGACTTATCTAAGCTATGTCTCAAACTATACTAGATAAAAAACATATAGGTCACTTACCGTCACCATTACCGACGCCATGACAAGAGCTCGACGGATGATAAACAAAGATCAATTTAAATATTTTATTAAAAACTACTGGTTAAAAAGGCTGACGGAATGAAACACGTAGTACTCACATGCATCCATCTATACCTACCTTAATGTAGTTGTCTACTTTAATGAAATTTAAATATATATATATATTACGACATATATTGAATACTGATTTTAATTTCTTATTTTGTTCTTATTATAAGCATATTGAAGGTGCCCTCGGTTATACCATTATCAAATAGATAAATGAAGATTTATTACTCAGCGCGAACTCCAATAAACATTTTCTGATATTGTACAGAGCCACTTCTGTCAACACTAATTAATCATGACATCGAGTAGGAGCTACTATAATTCTACGTAATTCATTCTTAATACACCTCCGATAATAATTAAGAAATATATTATCTGCATTCAAATAACGATATGTAATTATAGGAAAGATGTTTCGAAAAAAAATTGGGATATAATATTTTATAATATAAGTATTATCCTATTAATTAATATTATAAATGTGAAAGTTTCTTTGTTTGGATGTTTAGATGTTTGGATGTTTGGATGTTTGTACGTCAATCACGCCGAAACTACTGAACGGATTATGATGAAATTTGGTATACAGATAGGGTGTTAGCTGACTTAGATAATAGGATACTTTTATCCCACTAAACATTTCCCTAGGGTCCACGCGGGCGAAACCTCTGGCGAAAGCTAGTATTTTATAAGTGTTAACAATATCTGGAAACTTGTTAACACCTTTATACATAGTGTGTGTGATTACACACACATACAACATACAATATAGTCAATTCATATGAAATGTACTTTCACTTTTTATGAATATATTCTATAAAAATAATCTACTTTTTATATTATGCTTTTGGAAATTATTAATTCAGAGGCATCTCTAATACGAGGGTCAAACTGAAAGTTCTTAGAACTGGCCACTTATAAACAATATAATAAAAAAATAATTCTAAAATTTGAAAATATAACTCTTTGCCAATATTACTGAGTATATATTTCATTCATTTGTCATTTGTTTTACGATTTGGCGGCAAATTGAAAATTGTCTGTGTCACGTCATCATGAATTTAACACGAGAAAATTTTCGTGCAATGATTTTTTATGACTTTCGATGTCATTTAAGTCAACAAGAAAGTTATGATAGACTACGATTGGCCTTTCACGATGAAGCCCCATCTCGTGCGACTGTTTACAACTGGTTTAATGAGTTTAAACGTGGTCGCACTAATCTCACTGATGATTTACGTGAGGGACGGCCTTCTACGGCGACGACTGAAGATAACATCTGTGTTGTGCGGCGTATGATAGAGACTGACAAAAGAGTGACCTATCAACAGATTCGGACAAGCTTAGGCATCGGTATGAGTCAAGTGCACAAAATCCTCCACGAACATTTAGCGGTCAGGAAGCTTTGCGCCCGGTGGATACCTCATAATTTGACTGAGGCTCAAAAACTCCATCGTGTGGATTGGTGTCGTAAAATGATTGAAAGATTTAACGGAGGTGACTCAAATGCTGTGTTCGACATACTAACAGGTGACGAAAGCTGGATTTACTGTTATGATCCTAAAACCAAAAGACAATCTGCTCAGTGGGTGTTTCCTTTCGAGGAGTTGCCAACTAAAGTGAAGAGAGATCGAAGTGCGGGAAAAAAAATGGTGGCCTCGTTCTTTGGAAGGATAGGTCATTTTGCAACAATTGTGTTAGAGGATCAAAAAACAGTTTCTGCAGAATGGTACACTACCAATTGTTTGCCACTTGTCTTGGAAAAAGTTCGAGAGAAACGACCTCGCAGTAGGATCCTCCTTCACCACGACAACGCCTCGTCGCACACCGCCAAGCGAACGATCGACTATTTGGCGACATCAAACGTTGAATTACTGGGTCACCCGCCGTATAGCCCCGACCTCGCGCCTTGTGATTTTTATTTATTTCCAAAAATTAAAGAAAAACTTAAAGGAAAGCGGTTTATGAATGCTGAAGAAGCGGTGGCTGCGTATCGCGATGCCATTGAAGAGACCCCTAAGGACGAGTGGGCAAAGTGCTTTTCCCAGTGGTTCCATCGCATGCAGCGGTGTATTGACGTGAATGGACAATATTTTGAAAAGATATAATAAAACTAATAACTGGCTAATGTAATCAGTTTTTGATTTTCTAAGAACTTTCAGTTTGACCCTCGTATCGTCGTATCAAATCACTGTTTATGGCGATTATGGCGATGATTACTTATTTCAATAATTCCTAAACTTTGTGATTATAAGTAATATTTAGTAAAACATTATCTTTAAATTTTTATTCTGACCCCCAAAAGTGACCTTAGCTTTATTGTTTATATCACGTATAATTAAAGAGTTAATTGAATTTCTTCTTTTTTTTATTTTATTAGCATTATCTGTGAATTTAGTGTACAGAAGACAATGACAGTGTAACTCCTGTAAACTTCCATCAAACAATACTCGGGAAATTCCCGTAAGGGGATAAAGTTTCTTTACAAGTTTTTGTTAGCATCCCTTCCCGTCAGCCAGTTTCAGTGTTCTCGCTGAAATCACAGACAAAAAATATGATATTCAGCATAACTTGCCAAGTCGCTTAAGTACTTCTAAATAGCTGAAGGGGCTTTTAATAACAAAAGATACTGCTTCTAATAAAATATTGAGTTAACACGAAACTAATGTATATATATACCCCATTTGGTTTTTATTTTAAATCGAAAGAAAAAATGTTTTCAATTGGAATTTGTTTTCTTTTTTTCGTGGAAAGAACATAATAAAGCTAATTTATAGGTACTTATATTGTGATTTGTAATACGAGTATTAAATGACAGCTAAACTTCTTGTTGATAGATAATTGAGAGTGAAAATAATCAACAACCCCTCCGACAAGAATACGTATGTGATTTTGGATAGCTTTCTAATCATGCTAAAAGGGGCTATGCCCGTTTTACTTGTATCTTGGTTATATCATCATCATCAGCCTTTTTAAGACCAGACTGCGGGGACTCAGGTCTTCCTCGAATGAACTTCCACGCTAATCCAATGCGAGTTGTAAAGAAACAGAGACAGGACCAGGGACTGTCAGAGACATCTTACACACGCTGATTTTCATTCAGTGTTATGATTGACAGTTAGTGATATGATCTTTTTTGGTTTTCTTTTGTTTATTATGTAGTAATAATTATTATTCTCTTTCTTCTTCGTCAACTGTTGACACATACATCTCAAAGTTTAAGCTTTTATAATTATATTCGGTACGTACCTATCTAGTTTGAAAGCGTCTAAACCGACTCGAGAATTCATTTTTATAATTGACTAGTTTTATTGACTACTCAAATTCGATAAAATGTAAACGTTATATTGATACATCTACAATAAATCCTTCACCTAAACATCAAGAGAAAGTGAGATACATATTGTATTGACACTATAAAGAGAACGTGAGAATTATATGTACTTTTTCATATCTGGAGTGACACGACACGACACTTAATTGTTTTATCAATTAATAGGACTGATTTCGACTGACAGATGGAATGTTGATAATATTTGAAAATAATAAGACTCAATCAAACTTATAGAAGTTTATTCTTCGAACCTAAACCTATTCTTAAGTAAAGAAGACACATTGACACGTAAATAAAATAAAACAATTTGCAGTCAAACTAAAAATTGTGTCGGGCACATAAAATGTACTAAAAGTACTCACAATATTCAAACAATCCTCTGTTTCCTCCTCCTTACCACTTAACCAACATTTTATCACTCAAAAGTAATGACTAGATAAGCCAATTTTGTGACTTTAATTGTTCCTTTTTGTCTTTGTTAGTATATTATTGATTTATAAATAAACTAGCTTTCGCCCGCGACTTCGTCCGCGTGGTATAGTTACTTTGGGCATCATATTTTCCAAAAACGCTGTTGTTTTTTGAGCTGATGATGAAATTACCTTGATGTTTAAGTTCGAAGATAGTACAACAAAATACCAACGAATGTCCAATATGTTTCAGCACTTTATCTTTGAAACTTTAGAGATATTAATACAATTCAATGCGATTTGAAATAAAGATGAAAAAAAACAGTTCTGAAGTTTACACAAAACTTAATCGAAAACGTAATCTACGCAAAATTCTTTGAAAGAAACGTTACCGCAGATTACTTTAGAATAAACGCCATCTAGAACACAATTAAAAATTTGAAGTAGAGCCATGATAGCTTACAGGTCAAATATTATAAATTATAACCAACTATAAATAAATAATAATCATTATATAGAGACTGGCGGAACTGTCGTTAATAAGTACATTTTCATTTGTTTATCCACTATTTTTAAACGACTGCAAGAAAAAAAGGAGTAGGTTATCATCAGAATAGCACGCAGAAGGAACCGCAACAAAACCATTATATGAACTAGTGTCATCCCCGCATTCGAATGATATCCTCAAATTAATCTGATATAAAACAAAATGTATGTAAACGAAAATAAAAAATCGACATGAATTAATTTCTGTACTGTACTGTATAAAGAATAATGAAGTTACCTACTCCATATATTGTTCAAAATGTGAAACTGGTTTTAAATTTTAATAAGTTTTTAAATAATATTTTTTTAATTATGAAGAAATTTTAGAATTTATATTAGTACTCCATGTTGAAGATACTGTATCATGTTATAACAATTTTGTCCAAGCTTTATTTTCTGTTATATCATCAGACGCTTAACAATAAGCTTTTTTGGAATAAGTAATTTTTCATCGCGTTTGAACAAATACCATCAATATTGTCAAATTGTTCTTTTTTTTCAAAGCTGAGAAAACATTCGCAAATGAATTGAATGAAATTCTATTACGAAAAATAAAATAAAACAGCGAATCGAACGAGATCAATCATTTAACATCTATTCTATTATGTAACTTGGTACCTAATAGCTTCACTCCGACTGGTTTCAATTTGTATGCCAAATAACTTTGTTTCTGGAATCCGATATTAGTTTACTCTGGAAATACTTACATAACTATACTCTCAAGCGTTCAATACCATCTACTCTCTATATAACAGAAAATGTAAATATACCTACATAATATATCAAACCACGTTTTGTTATAATTCTCTTCTGATATAAAAAAAAAGATTTTTATTTTAGAAGACATTTAAATCGTCACTTGATATTCTTCACTAAATTTATATATCTTTCAAATCAAATCAAATATGTTTTTTCTTAAGCTTTTCTCGCCTATAAATCTACCTGTAACTGCCATCCGTCATTGTTTGACATTGTTTCTATTCTATGTGTTATATTATTATATGTATATGCATTTATTTATGTATGAGTGTGTACATATATATCTTTTGTTGTATATAATTTTATATACGATATATTTCGATATAGTTTTTATGTAGGGATATCAATAGCGTAATATACATATTATCCTACTTTATGTTTATCGCTTCTTTTAAAGTTGTGTACTAAAACTGGTTGACTGGTATAGTCCGCCATTTATCTATTTTATTAGAGCAGTTAAGATTAAATAAATAAATCATTTTATCTACTTAATTATAAAACGGTTATTAAATCTATCCACTAAATACCTTTTAGACAGGAGCTTATTATAAGGTGTGAAAAATAAATAATACGAGCTGATATCAATGCGCCCGATAATAGATAGATCAAGAACTTATGAATAGAATTATGGCGATCTGGCGCATCGAAAACTATTTACAATCACTGTGTAAAGTTGCTTAACTTTTAAATTACTCTGCAACAACGGTTTTTGTGTTGTTTGATGAAAAATATATTGTTTTAATGTCAGTTATTATAACAAAAGATCAACTCCAGCCCTTAATCTATGGAAATATGTAAAAAACGAAACCAAGGATCTCTGTTATTCTCTCTCACAGCTGTATTTCATCGTAAATTAACTAAAAATTTTGAAAAAAGACCGAAAATAATGCTTTAAGATTACAAAAAAGGTAAACGTTTGAGAAGTAATTGGGTATTTTATATTTATGCAGATTTTTTCCAATTGAAAATTGAATTGGCCGTCGTAGTTATTTATCATTAAATATTTCCCTCGCTAATTCTTGGAAGTCCATAATTGGATTTTTTAGCCCCTTGTTTAAATTTATCTAATAACTTTATTCCTTATTTACGTTATTTCATTCGGTTCTATAGTTTTGGAGCAATTTTTTCTATAGTTTTGGAGCAATTTAACCTAAATTGCGAAGGCGAATGAAAAACTAAAAAACCAACAATAGTATTTTCTTGAATAAGTCGATTTTGAGATAAGTATCATTTATCACTTCTTTTAAGTTTGAAGTTGGTTCTATTTTTTTAAAGTTTTGATTTCATGCTTTTTAGTGATATTGAAATATTATTTTTATAATAGTTAAAGTCTTAGAAAAACACTGGAAGTCTTTTAAAAACAGACACATACACACGAGTGGAACTATTAAGGGTTCCATTTTCCCTTTTATAACTCTAAAAACAGAGGTAAGTGTAAAAATTAATAATAAAAGCTTATTCGTCCCCAGGATCAGGCAACGCCTCCCTCGAGTCAGCGTTCTGCGCGATGTTGGAGATGCCGTCCTGGTACTTATGCGAGCTGAGCAGCCTTCTATTTTTCATACTGCCTGGCCTCATGATACTATGTCTCTACGTCCGCATGGGACTACGTATCAGGTACGTTATGGGGTTAGTATCTTTTATTACACACGTTTATATAAAGCTTAATTAAAGGAATAAAAATAAGAAGACACCATTGCAAAATCTCTACGAATAACTAATCAATATGGATACTACATAACCCCTACAGTGTACAAAATAAAGTATTCGCAATTGGGTATATACAGTTTGCAAATAAGTTATTTCGGGGAATTTACGTCTGGAAAACGGGCAATGTCGCATCTGCCACTCGCGCTTTTTACTCCCACTGCGTTTTAACACTAAGGAGTTGAATTACTTACAACCCTTTCTTACAGTTCTACTATAATTAAATTATGAACATTAACTAGAAGTGCTTAAAGTCGATTAAATATATTTTAAAGTTTCCAGAAAATGATTTTTGATGACACCTACCCGGCTACACTTTCACTTAGCCAGCCTTTGGAACCTGTAAAGGATCTACGTTAAAAATATAAAATGTAATTCCGTCAGTACCGCACTGAAAATCAACTTTTTTTAAAGTGTTATATGTTTTTGTATAAAATATTTGTCGTTTGGGTCAGAGAAATTAGTGAATTTGAGTATGATAGACACAGATTGAAGTAATTGTTTGAATAAAGCTTGCAAATAGCTCACTTCAAGGACAGAAGTCGCATGTGATTGCATTTAAGAATGTCAGTAGCTACAACATACTGATAACAAGGGCTGGCAACATGGCGTCTTTGTTAAACGGGAAGTCAACATATGTGTTATTTATTATAATAATATCCCCATTGAAGTAAAACATTATTATATACAGTGTCATTGCTATAATAAGAGGCTCGGTTTGGCCAAACTTCTTTCAGCAAGACGAGTTAGAGGCACATAAGTAATATGTGCACAGCGTGTAAGTGTCTGCATGGCTATAGTTGTGGTTCAGGTGAAAAAACGGTAAATAATTTCAAAAACTAATTTAAAAGGAACGTGGTAAACTGTCTACATTTCTTTTTTATATTTATATTTTATTTCTATTTTATATATACTTAGGCCTAAAGTTTAAAAATATAACTTAAATTTAAGTTCAAGTTAATCTATTATATATTATCTATTATATATTACTTTACGGGATAAAGTCATAATAAAAACATTTGTTATAATAGATTTATTCTTGCTGTTTCAGTAAATATTATAATAACAAGATTTCGCAGAAAATCTCCTTCCTAGTGAGTGAGTGAGTTATTGCGTACAGCTTATTCAGATTTTATGATTGAATCAGTAAATGTTTATTTATCGGTGTAATAAGCCTGTTAATATAGAATCATAATGTAAGTTAAATTACAGATATAATGTTATTTTAACATACACATATACATACAAACCTGAAAAAGACTAAATATTTAAGCTTTCGGATTTAAACAAGGCCTACACCTTTTGTATTTCCTGTCTTTGCGATTATTTGTTTAAAAACTAATTAATTATTAATAAATAAAAAACTAATTAAATGTATTTTTTTATGTAAAAAGTGTATATTGCACTTTTTACATAAAAAAATTACAGGAGGTACATAGTTCCTTATTTTATTACATTATGAATAAGAGTTATAACATTGAAGAGAAATATATTAACACTAGTACAGCAGATTTTATTAGCCCATCTAACTTAACCAATCTACAATGGGCGAGTTGAATCCAACCCTACCATTATGCGCACCATGTATACATGGCCTGTTAACCATATAATGTCCTATATTGTCCTATACAATAAATATAAAATGTAAAATAAATGACCATGTAATTAATGATGTTCCCATTCATTTTTGCTCAATAGTTACGTACTTTATTTTGTATTTCACACTCGTAGTAGTGAGAAAAGCTACCACGGAACTAATACTAGGGAACTGTTCAAGAATCACTCCTATGTGAAAATGTTACGAGTAGCCGGTATCACTGGTATACTTTATTAGTACATCGAATGAAATCAAATGAGCGACGCGCCGGTTCAATTTCCTAAAACATCCGACCGTCCCGAGCACCGCATCGGAAGATAAATTATTGAGACATTAACTGTCAGAGAGGGACAACGAGACTGTCGTTACAGACTACATAACAGATGCCCTTCTTTCCGGCGGAGTGATGGCAACAAAAACCTTAATTAATAACATCACCATCTAAAGTTCTCCTTCTGAATTTCAAAGGAAGCTCTTAGAGAGCCAACATTATCAGAATGAACTTGTCATACGGACGAGGCATTTTACACGTTTGAAAACGAAGCTGTCACTTGTTATTCTTTGTACTTTAGCTTGTAACGAGACGGGGGAAAGGCAGCCATCTTTGCATGATTGGCCATACTATGTGTACATGTTTCCCTTTATTATATTTTATATATATATATGTACATTCGCATACTTTTTTGACGACCTGGATTGTTAGGAGGTGATGTGTAAGAAATAAAAAATTGTCTTGACGCTGAAGCACTTGAAAGGGCACACCATGATTTGAACATATGATTTAAACATAACATAATGAAGCTGTAAAAATTAACGTTGTCCCAGTAATGTGCAAATATACCGTCAAATTGTAGACCGCGATTCAGATTACAGTCTTCATGATTGTACGTCCATATTTTGTTACATTTTCATTAGTGTCCTCACTGCTGGAGCACAGACCTTCCCTGTGGATGTAATTATTTATTTCAAAAATTAAAATATATCTTAATATTCCTCATCTCATTTGATTTTTATTTCTTTCTATTCAAATTTTGTATAAACCCAGTATTTTCTTAATTAATAAACTTCAAAAACGTCAAGCTTGTGACACGTAATGAGCCCAATTGCAGCTTTATTATAAAAATATAATATTAGTGACTTTTATTATTTAATTAAATTTATCTGGATGAACCTACTAAATTTTTACAATAAGAAAACTGTATAATTAGTTAATTCAGACAAAAAGTAGTCCCCGAGGTGTAGAACATTTTCTGTGATAAATTATAAGACGTCACGTCTACAATAGCTACAATTTTTCTGTTTATTAAATTATATTTTCAACGAAGGTATCAAGTAGGGCTAGGGAGGAGAACGGCATAAGTGAACCGGTAATTTTTTTGATTCTGCAACTGAATCACACCAAGGAGGTTAACATTTCACGTTATGTTTTCTAAAAAAGTCTCGATACAATTCTGGGTGTAAAAAAATCACAAATTGTAACAATATTTGAACAGATTAATTATTGATTCAATAAGGCAATTATTTTAGGGAATGACTTTACTACTACTTGTTTTATTGTATTAATAAGAGATGCAAATAAGTCTTTGCAAAGTTTTAGACTTTTTGGTGTAAATTTAAAAATCACCTTCAAATTAAATTCGCGCGGTGAAAGTAAAAGACTTTGCTTTTGTTTGAACTTACTACAAACGAAAAAACTTGTTCAATACATAAATTTATTATCTTGGCTTATCGGACTTACGAAAATTCTCTTTATAAAACTCACGTATTGGCACAAAGTTTGTAAAAACAGAATAAAGTGTGAGAAGTACTTGCATATGTCGAGTTCTGTTTCACAGCAGTATTAATATCTTTCCCTTTTAAAACTGTTATGTATAACACGCGATTTATAATATGTTGGAATATAGACATGGAAGTAAATGTGCATTTATAGTGTAAGTGACAGTTCTATAACAAATTTGCTTACGATTAAGATATTTATATCACAATTATAAGACAAACGTTCATTTAAATTGTCATCAGTTTAAAGCGACATTAGATATACAAATCTGACATTCATTAGAGATTAAAAATGTCATTAAACCCAAATGGACGTTTGTGCAACTGACCGAATATCTCATTGTATAAACGACACATTCCAGTAATTCTTTCAATGTGAAACCGTAATATTTTTTATAAGGAACCCTAATAAAATAAATCACTTTTTCTAACGCGACGTGTTATAACAGTCGATTTGGATTCTGTGATTGTGTTTTCTCATATTTTATTCTATGTGGTGTTCAATGTTTTATCACGCACTTTGCTGCCTTTCGACAGAGATTTCTTTTTATACGTCAATTAAAATTTGTATAATTTATGTGTATTTTGCTACAATAATGAATAAACACACTTAAATGCATCTTATCGATGTCGAAATGATTGATAATAAGCTCGACACGTATACAATTTCATTTAGAAAAAACAATACGCGAGCTACATTCTAAGTGACTGATATGTATGTTTATGGTCAATGCCGTAAAAACACACACACACACACACACGCGCACACACACACGCGCACACACACACACGCACACACACACACACACACACACACACACACACACACACACACACACATACACACACACACGCACACACAAACACTACTTTACTTGTCTGTAATAAAAATTGTATTGTTGATAACAATGATAATTGTATTTAAAGGATTAAGACATAATCAATAAAAAATATTAAATTACTTTTATTTTGAAACGGCCATGACATCCGGTTTGGTAAATGACTTAATTTTATTATTCACCAATTTTTGAGATTTCGAATTTATTAACATAAACAGTGAATGTATGTTGAACTTAACCTTTCTACATGCAATTTTCATTGCTTTTGAAACTACTTTCATGTTTTCTTAGATTTTTTATATCTAGATTTTCTATATTGTATGTGATAATTTAAATCAAAATCGTTTTCAGACAAGCCTCTGAGCCTGTCATCAATAACTCCAAAGATGACTTAATTAATAAGCTCCCTTAATATTACAGCTTTCATTAGTATGCCATATTGCCTGGAACATAAGAAGGAACGTATAATATCCACGTGACATTTCCTCTTGGAGACATAAGTACCATTGTTAGACTCGCTTACAATTAAGGAATATTTCCCCAAGGCAACAATTGGGGCCCCTTTTCTTTATTTCTTATTACCTCAAAGTAAGTGTCTATATAAGAGTCTAATGAGGCCATAGGATAAAAAACTTTATTGCTACGACGTGAGATTTCATTTTGTGATACTCGTAAACAGTAAACGAGCCACGTTAAAA